CATATCCTTCTTGATAAACAAGCACGAGAGCCATGCAAATCTAGATAAGAAGGTGGAAAGGCTACAACAGCTGCTTCTTCGAGTTCACATGGTCATCGAGGAGGCCGAGGGGCGGTACATCACCAACTCCAGAATGTTGCTTGAGCTCAAGAGGCTTGCAGAGGCCATGTACCAAGGTTACCATGTCCTGGACACCATCAAATACAAGGCCCTTTGCAGCTCAAGGGATGAAAAGGAGGTTAGCAGCAGCTCCAATACCTTGTCGCTCTCGAATTCTATCAAGTGCTTTCATACCAATTCTACCAACTGCTTTCGTACCACAAGGAGCACTACTACAATTTTTCACGACCTTGATAGTGTATTGAAGAACTTAGAAACCATGGTTTCTAACATGACAGAGTTTGTCTTGCTTGTTGGAGGATGTGAGCGCATGCCTCGTAGCCCTTACGACACGTACCTGTACATCGACAACTTCATGTTTGGTCGTCAAGTAGAAAAACAGCAAATCATGAATGTTTTGCTACAAGAAAATATTCCTCCTTTCGCTCCAACTGTTCTTCCGATCATCAGCACCAATAGAGTGGGCAAGAAAACTCTAGTCGCACATGTTTGTAACAATGATAGAGTTAAATCACACTTCCCTTTCATCTTGCGTCTGAAAGGGGAAAGCATTCACAAAACTGAGCATGGGGCTTTCGTTCCAACTGGGAGGACTTTGGTTGTGGTTGAATTTACTTCAGACATAGATGATGTTAGTTGGCAAAAGTTTTATTCCACAACCAGACGTATGGGAGAAGGAAGCAAGATCATAATCATAAGTAGGATTGAGAGTGTATCGAGACTCGGAACCATAAGGCCGATGCACTTATACAGCTTGTCGCTGGAGGAGTATAGTTACCTCTTCAAGGTCCTTGCATTCGGAAGCACAAATCCAGATGATCACCCCCGGCTATCATTGGTAGCGAGTGAGCTAGCTGTGTTGATGGGAGGTTCGCTCGTGGTAGCAAATGTGTGCGCCGATATCTTCAGAAAGAACCAGAATCTTCAGTTCTGGCAACATATCCTCAACAAGTACAGAAACTTTCTGGTAGACAATCTCTCGGTGTTTTGTGAACATCCAAAGCTTCTCATCGAGAGAGATCGCCCGGTGGATATAGCAAAACTCATGTCATCGACCTCTGCTCCGCTTCGCCTCATGCCACCGCACTGCAAAGACGACGATTCTACGAGGGATTTGCCCAAGGTGAGGTATGGGGACCTGATCGCCGGCTCCGTTGTTCCGCCGAAGGAGAAGTTCGAGCTAGTAGGTTGGGAGTCGCGGATACCACCATATAAGAAGTATGTCAATGTGGCTATGTTCTCTGGTGAGGTGAATGTTTCAGAACATGTGGTCTCACCTTGCAAGAAGCGCATACGATTTAGTTAGAGAATGTAGTTTTCTTCATTAGATGAAGTTGAGATGACAATGAGCTGTTGTAATTTTGTACAGATCAATCCAAGAGTGTAGCCTATATGGCATGACCAACTCGCCAAGCTTTGATGGCCCATGGTAGGCCCGAATTTGTTAGCCATGCAAAGAAGATTAATTTCTACAACCTGTATGAGCACACCATGTACCATGATTTGCAAGCTCTTATTAGCACTTGGCAGTCTACACAAGAGAAAGTATCTCATATGTTTTTAGCATAGTGAGAAAAATAAATATCGAAGTAACGGTTTTGGTAAATATATTTCAGTCTGTGTCACTCTAGGGGAAAACAGTCAATTCTTGTGCCTGTTGCTAGGTACTGCATAGTAGTTTCGTGCACAATCACACCTCAATCCTAATTAAAAAAGAGGGTTTTATCTTGTGCTAAACTAACGATATCATGGTAATGACAACAAATACAAAGTGTTGAACCCGCTCGCGCAAAAGCTGGACCAAATAGAGTACTCATTTCCTTTCGTCACTGGAGCAAGCGACACAGGCATGGAGATGGAGGGTCATCATTAAACGCCAAGTGAGTACTAGTTAGTGGCAGAGTATGGTCCAGCCTTTCCACAAATTACATTACATGCATGCTACAAAGTCGGATGGACAATCAACATCCGGCCATACTTCTTTTTTGCTTCAAAGAGACACACATCCCCTACCTTCAGGCCATTCTCCCAACCAAATTCCTCCCACCCGTCGCGAATCCAACTCATTCTGGCACCACGTCCAACATCGAACTTAGTACACCACGCTTTGCCCTCTACCTGAAGGTAATTTTTTGTTTTCCGAGCGGGGAGCCATTCCGAAGCAAATTCGCGGCAGAAGGTCTGTTTAGAAATGCACAAGTTCACAGATTCAGGTGAATGTTAATTCAAAGGAGATCATTCCAAGTTTTCAATGCTTCTAACCAATGGTTAATTTGCATAACCAACGACAAAGTACAAATAAAGCCGAGAATGTGACTGTGGATAAACGAGTAGGTAAACTCACCACAGGATATGTTCGGCATCCTCTACCCTTGCCCTTGCTGCCAATAATAGAGATTTCAGTCATCTCTTTGACATAGACAGGAATTTCAGATCCAATTGCTTGTACTTTCTCCTCAACTCTTTTCTTCATTTGCGTAGACAGAGTCGCCCCCTGGGCCAAAATAGAGGTATGCTGGGAAGGCCCCCCAACATGATTGGACAGAGGTGGCGAACCGTCTTCAAGATTCATAGATGGCTGGTCATTCGCCTTGTGAGCTTCGTGTCCTGGAAAACATACAATATGGTGAACACGTAATGACGAGAAGTGATTTCAAATAGTTCACACAATCAGAAGTGATAGTTACCATTCATCACACGTTGATCAGAAAGAGTGCTCGAAGGAACATCTCCAAATATCTCAGTAGGTCGTTGACAAAAGAAAAAAGATTTCTCGTGACCGCTTGGATTGAATATGTGAGCCTTAAAGCAGAAGTTCCCACGGTCCACAAACAGAACGGAGTTACCTTCTTGTATGTTAGTTGCATCCACAAACTCCTCCCATCCGTCGGACGAAAGAAATGGCTCGTAGTCGTCCCTAATAACTTCAAAATCAAACACGCCATCACGAGCTATGATTTTGACAAACTCGGTCTCGGGGGCTATGTTCTCCAAATGACTTCCAAACTCACGCCGCATGCTCTGTCGAAATATAAGGCAGATACATATTGGTTAGAGCCAGATTTAATTTCCACCGTTTGTGCATATGGAATTTCATGCTTTTCGCAAGAAATGCAGACATAATTCAGAACACACGGCTGCCAACAGACATGGAGAACAAACAAATGCAAAAATGCACATATGTCCGTGTACGTGAATAGGATTTGCAACACACAAAAAATGCACGAGTGGGTGGCGTGCTTATACACGAAGAACGGCTGAACATCGGCATTGCCAATCCAACTCGATCGGCTATAAACAGTTTGGAAATAGTCTGAACAGTAAAATTTCACGCTTAAGCGGCACGAGTAATCTACCAAGTCATCATTTTTGGCAAACATCAATTGATATAGCACACTCATGGCACACCAACGCTGTAAGACACTAGTCATTATCTCCAACAACATTTCTTCCATCACACGCAGGGGTGCACGGTAGTAATTATAAGAGCTTGGCTTCCAAATTACAATATCGGTAAACAGTTTGACACACATTTTTTTCATGCGACCTCTTCATATTTGTTTTCCAAGCAAAACACCCTGGCTGGAAGGAACAATGCTATCATCAGTCTATTTGCAGGCATCACAAACTACATGTGGGGGCTAAGAATGAAACTGGGACCTTTATCTTTTATCTTTATCATTCAGTGGACTCCACGGCAAGCTGATGAAGCAGGCAAACTAATTTGAGTGCATCCAGCAACTAAAACACCCGAAGCAGAGGAACGGAGAGCAGAGGAGACACATGACCTACACAGACTGACTGACCGACCCACCCTGCTAGATGCAGCATTGGATTGGAACCGTAATAATGAATCAATGGGGGGGAGGGGGAGGGGGAGGCTCTCACCACGCCGTACCGGACGTCGGCGGCGGCCACGAGGGTGAACATCTGCCCCGACATCTCGCACGCGTCGCGGCCTGTCGCCGGAGACCTGCCACCACAGACAGCGTCCGGTGAGAAATCCAGAAGTAACCAGCAAGGATCTGGGCGGCGGTGGTTACCTTGGTCTGTAGATCGATCGCCGCTCCTCGCGTCTTCCGCCTGCGAACCCGGCGGCGTGATGGGCTGGTCGTTTTGGGCAACGAGGCGGTGGCTACCATCAATTATTCACCCACCGCGGGAGTGTCAGTGAGGTGGGTACTGCTGACCGTAGCTTAGTGCATCTGGACATTAATTACCTTGCTTTATTACCTGAAATCTCTCCCACGCATGCATCGTTGCAATGGAGCCGACGCAGGAACCTTGCCGATTGGGCATGGATGCAGGCGGCATGCGCCGCTCTAGTTAATAGGGTGATTTAATAGGGCAGTTAGAGAGCAAATTAAGCAGATTTATTTCCTAAATCTCTACTACATGCCTGTATCTCCTTGGTCTTTGTGTTGTGGCTTAAGGGTCCAATAAACCCGGACAGAAGGAGTATTTCCTGAAATATTTGATGATTGTAACCATTATAAGACACGATTTCCAATAAATTGGGCGAACACTGACATGTGGGCCACGCCTTGCAGCAAGAGACGGAGCCGTGACGGCGCTCTTCGTTTGCCGAGTTCCATCTGACGGCAACTCGGTAAACATTTTCTATTACTTTTTTTAAACGTAATTCGAGAGGGCATTTCTTGAGGAGTGGCAGGACCAATTTAAATTGTCGCGTCGTTCACAATCAATAAGCAGAGAAAGATTCATCGTACAGTTTGTATCCCTTACAAAGTGAGCATTCTTGACTGGTCTAGTCTTTTTTTTGAATCATTTTATCGGAATTCCATGGTTCATAGTTTTGCCTTGGAATTCCATGGTTCATAGCTTTGCCGAGTTCTCGACCGGAAGAACTCGACAAACATAGCTGGTGGTTTAGTCCCACCTCGCTTCTTGAAGAACGACGCGACCAGCCTAAATAGGCGCTTCGTCTAGATGCACTAAGCTACGGTCAGCATTACGCTTTGTGGTGGATATGTCTGTCACTATGAAAGCTAAATTTCCTAGTTACAGATTGTATCCATCATTTTGACACCACAGCCATCCTGTCTTAGGGTTACGCAAGTCAAGGCGGACGACTCGTGGTAATGACGCCGGACGCCGAGACGAGCACGTGACACCATGACCACCTTGTCTTAGAGTTACACGAGTCGAGGCGAACGTCGTCGCGGTAGCGACAACGGACGCAGATATGGGCACGTGATACCACTGCCACCTCGTCCTAGCGTTACGCGAGTCGAGGCGGATGTCGTCGCGGTAGCGAGGACGGGCGCCGAGACGAGCGTGTGACACCACTGCCACCCCGTCCTATGGTTACGTGAGTCGAGGCGGATGTCGTTGCGGTAGCGATGACGGGTGCCGAGGCGAGCATGTGACACCACCACAACCCCGTCCTAGGGTTACCAGAGTTGAGGGGGACGTCGTGGCGGTAGCGATGACGGGCGCTGGGATGAGCACGTGACACCACTGCCACCAAGTCCTAGGGTTACGGGAGTCGAGGCGCGAGTTGCGGCGGACGCCATCGCGGTAGCGACGGCGAAGGCCGAGCCAAATTGACATAAAAATATTCGTGTTTAAAAATATATTCATGTTTTTAAAAAAATGTCAGAAATTTCAGAAAATGTTCATTTTTTTAGAAAATATCACAAATTCAGAAGTTGTTCATTTCTAAAAATATGGCCTTGCTTTGAAATATTCTTATTACTTTAAGTTGTTTATAGTAGATAAATTCAATGAACATTTCGATTCAAGCGAAAAACAGTAGATCAATTTAATAAGTATGCTGTTTTTTTGTTTAATAAAATTATATTCCTGGAAAGTTTTAATCGAAAGGGAATAGACGCTAATTTATTCTTTCTGTGTAAAAGTAGCAATTCATTTTCGTTGAAAGTGCTAGTTCATTTCAACAAACACATGCATGGAGATGGAGGGTCATCATTAAACGCCAACAGATGAGTAGAGCACTACACTAGCTAGAGGCAGAGTAAATTACAAAGGATCCTATCCTATTTCTTGTATTACCTTGAATTTTTGGTATATTTTGTGAAAAAAAAGAAACTCCACTCTTCGTTGTTGATAAATCGAAATCCCTATTCACTCCTTTGGGTATCCTTTTCCCTCATAAGGATATTGAATACAAGGAACTCTCTTTAGTGCTACTGCATGCTACAAAGCTACGCACTACAAGTCATGTGAATGAAGTGAGTCAACTTGTCCAATAGTCAACCCTCTCATTGCAGGGTATCGGAGGACTAAATCATACACCATACAGACCATACAGTTTTTTTTTAA